CTGGTAAGAATGATTATATTTTTGCCTTCACACGTTTCAAGCGTGCCATTATAGAAGGAGATAAAAGTTCTTTGTGTGAGAAATCATCATTCAATGTATAGTAAACCAGTGTTAAATTATCTCACAATCCAAAACATGCATGAGGACTAATGTTGTAGTCTGTCTTATTGGAACAGGTTACCGAGACATTTTTTCCAATTTATTCCCTCGTTTTCCAGCCCTTTAAAGCATATCTACTTTGTATTAGAAATAGGAACGACATGCTTAAATTTCATCTTCCAAATGCTGTCACACATACGTTGTATATAATAGCTTAAACATCTCATTTAAAGCGCAAACGCTCAAAAGTATCTGGAAACCTTCGGCATCAACTGTCTTAAGTTTTCCAAAGCTCTAAACCTGTAAGATCCATTTCCGTATGCAGATATACAAATAAGGAGAAAATCCCTCCATGTCTATTTTCTCTCATAACTATCTATTCCCATTCCCGAAGAATGTGTTGTTTAAAAATGCCACGTTTATTCAAGGTTTGACATCGCTTTACTCGTAACACTCTTTTTACTTGAAAGATCAAAAACTTCGTCAAATGAGATGTTAGGGATGAACGAGTTCGAAAATATATTTGGATATATTTCCTATATGTTGACGGTGTTGGTAGTATTGCTAGTATTAGATAAGGTTGGGCGGCATAGTGTACTTACTCGAGCTCTGTTGCAGATGCCCGATCGAACGCCCTCAGGTAGCGTGTGTTCAGTAAACCTATTGAGGCCAACATCACTCTCGAACACTTAGAGAGCTATTTATTTTGAGTGATTGTCAATCGTTACACTTACTCCTACCCCCTAGTGGGGACGTGATGCCTCATGGACCAGAGTTTAAGCTCAATGGCAAATACATTTTTACAGCTTGCTGTGTCTAGTAGAGTCTGGTCGTTTTCCTTAAGATAAGAAGTTATTCGGTACAACACAACAAAGAGAAACGTACAACGAAAATATCGATTCACTGTATTCCTCGTCGCTATTTCAACTTTTTCAGTAGTCCTGAAAAAGACAAAAAGAAATGAAATTGCAAATCAAAATATACTCGTATTTGAGTAAGGAAGCAAAATGTGCAGAAAATGTGGTATATATGCACGTACATATCATGTGACAGCGTGAAAAGTTTGAACACAAAGGGTATTAAAGATTTTCCTACAAAATTTACATACATATTTAAACATTTCAGAAAACGACGATCTTTTGCGATACAACAATACCAGAAAACTGATTATACAAACAAAAAACTGTGAGACCCGATTGGAGAGGCAAAACTAAGACTTTTACAATGCTCTGTAACCCTTCAAGTGTTCTGGAAACCTTACCGTACTTCCGGAGCACGTTGTTTTAGGTTAACTTACGGATTCCAGCGTGGTACCGTCGTAGATATATATTATTGGCAAAACTGTGATGTTCAATGCTTCAAATGAAATAACTTTGGTCATAAATTCTTTTACAGACTGTCCTCTTTTTTGAGGGCTTTCATCCTTCATGATCTTCAGGGATTGAGTTTGATATTACCCACGTTCTTCACACCACTTTCATTAGGCAAGCAAGTGGCAGTATCACATTTCTTATCATAAGTGTCACTAATATCGCTTTATGACTGGCGATGAAGTATCTATAGACTCAGAACAGTAAATTCTTGCCACAGTAGTAAAGAGCTTCGGAAATATTTCGTGAGCTATATGTGTTACAGTCATAAATTATTAAGAACAAGTCACTTATCGATTCTATCCCTTTATCGGCAGGAAAGAATCAATTAATTTTTTTGCATCACTAGCTTTAAGTAACGAACGCGAAAATGTACTGAAAGTTTAATACTCAGTGAAAAGTAGTAAAAGCGGAAATAAGGGCACAAGACTGTCATAAAAATTAATAAAAACACAATCAGGTTTCCAAGGGGTACAGAGAAAATTACAAGGCGCAACTTATCAGATAACAAACCCAAATTTTTACCGGAGCTACTGAAAATTACCTGTTTCTTGTTCTCTAGTGAGGTCAACTCGAAATAGGCTTGACAACTGCTGACATTCATAGTACAGGGATAAGCTGACTGGTCCTTAATAGGCAAAAATAAATAACTGTTTGTCCAAATCAATATGTGTCTAGGTTGAAAAGGGATGTTTATGAGTGCAGAGAGGTACGATTTTAACATTAACCACTCAGGAATCTGACAAGATGAAAGACTAGGCAGTGTGGTGTATGCTACATATATAGACATAAGTAGTACATGATGCTTTTCGTGAACAGAATGTCTCGCAGCAGAGAGACAAGAAGATCGAACAGTAAAGAATGAAGACAGACTGCAAGTTGTGTGAAAATGCAAGAACAATGAAGTCTGAGTCATTTTGAGACAATTGATGGAAATTTCGCAAATTGAGCATTTACTATATGGTTGTTAGATTTTATTAACAAGTACTGTAATTTGTTGTCACATACATTCAATTGCCCCTATTGGTGTTCTGTTCACTACAGGCAGTACAAAGGTAGTTGGGTAAAGCAACTGGAGAAGTCTCCACTGATACCACAAGAACTAAAGTGGTGTAAATTGAAAATCTGCCAATTGACACCCACCTAACCCTAGAATGGTCATTATCATTATCCTTATACTTAACTACCAGTTACAAATAACGTGGGGACCCTATATAAATATGATCTGCCTTTACATCGATTCATCTTACTTTGCCCTGTTTACTGTTTGCTGGGTGTACGCCCATAGTCCCCGTGTTAGATGACTATTCTCTTTCGCGCTTTTATGCTAATTGTATTGGGTTACGATTTAGGAACATGTTATGCGTTGACCATATATTTGTTTTCACAATAGTCCTGTAAAGACTAGTTTGACAACAGTATAGCAACTTATTTAGGAAATTTACTTGCAGTAAGCTCATGGTTAATATCATAATATTTTGTGTTTATGAGCTCCATACTTTGCCATTTATAGCTACCAGTAGTTTCAACGAGTTTTGCCTTGTGATTTTACGTCTTTCATCCTTGATTGATCCTGTAAGTTTATTGTCTAGGTCGATACTAAATGGATTTATCCTTGTTACTGGAATGACAGATCTGATCCGAAAACTGTAAATTCGCAAAGATTCGACTACAGCATCTGCAAGATCCCATTTGGAAGTCAAATCATTTTCTATACTGACTATTTCGACAGTTAAGAATCTGATGTTCAGCTTTTTTGAAGAATAAATTTGGGCTGAGAATATGATAATATATCTTGATGTGAAAAGGAATGTTTCATAGGGTGGGCACGCCTGCACGGCTGAGGCATGTCATACAGATCAAGTGTTCCCGAGCCAAATCCTCCTGATCTCCTTTAAATGTTACACTTTGAATGTGAATCTTCTTAATTATCGTATGTTCATTTCAAGAATCGTGAATATAAAAATCAATACCACTACAATCCCTTCTATGCGTATTACAGTACTGAAAACCATAACCAATATGTCATAGTAAAGAGGATTGTGAATGTTATTTTTCGCCACCTCAACCCTATTCACTTCAGAATTTGCGATTTTTATGTCTCAATATGACGACTACATTATTTTAGTTGAACTTCGAATTTATATCGTCAGAGTGATGTCCTGTTCGTGACTGGTGGATATTATTATATGATGTCTTTGATTTTGAGAAGCTTAAACTCTTCAGTGCATAAAACAACAAGAGATCAAGCTGGCTAGTCAGCAGTAATATTTTGACGAGTTACCATTTATATAGGTTCTTCAAGTATAAAATGTATTACGTTCAGTGGTACCTTAAAATGCGGTCAGCATGAAATGTCAAAAATGTACACAGCTATTAGTTTTGGCAATTTATTCACCGTTACAACGGTGACCATACCTTTATGCTGGACACATCACTAGCTGAGGGCACCACCGAAACATTCGCACCATACTATATTTTAGTCCACCATGAAATCTTTTTCATTCAAGAACTAGTCGGCTTAAAAATTATACGCCTGTTCTCCATATATATGTTCCCACTCAGTCATCATCTACTTTTGGTCTTGACTGTTTTGAGATCATTTGTTTTATTAGTTAATAAATCCCCATAATATACAATCTTGAAACTTCTCAACATTGATGAACATATTAGGCTTGACAAACATGCCCTAGCTGGAGAAGTTCGTTAATTTAGGTTCTTTATCCTGTTCATCTCTTATGATAACTATCCATTACTACGCATCCACCATTATCCAAGTATGTTTTTTGATCCATTGATTCTCGACTACTGGTTTGAGTGGTTTTAGAGATCAGTGTAAAAGCAGTGGATTCGGACTGTAGTGTTGCAAAATCAGCATATACTCGACATATTTACTGTCAAATCCTGAAGTATCCCGTTACTCCTCATAAGCGAAACCTGAGTGAAGTTGTCACTGACAATATCGGACCTTGTGGACACTTCAGGGAAAAAGTACAATAATTTCAAAATGCATTTGAAACAAATAATTCGATCCACAATGCAGCTGTGCTAGCACGAGCTCGACAGTCAAAGATAAAAGTGGTAGACGCAATTGATTAATTATGTTGAGAGACTAAGGCTTATCAACTCATTCACCTTATGTTATAGCAATTTTCTAAAATTATCTAACACCGGTTATTGTATAGTGAATGGTAATCTGGAAGAACAGTGAAAAAATCAGAAATTCAGGACCGACTCCTTTATGTCCGGAGTTATGTTCAGTTGCTGGAGACGTGAAATGACGGGATTCCTCACTAGATCTTTATACTGGCACAAATAATGAGAGTAAATGTGTGTCATAGAGCCTTTTGACTCTACCACAAAGCTTCAATCAATTTATAAAACTGATACATGCTATATAAGGAATAATTAGTAAACTAAATCTAATGAGACCTGTCTGAATCGAGTTCATCTGCTTAAATTGGTTTGTGTGTTTTGCCAATACAGAAATAGGATGACAGCTACTTGACCTTCGGGTATCATTAGGGGGAACTAATTTGAATTCTTGTGGTGATCCTGAGGGTACGTTTGAATTCCCTATAAAATTATGTCAGTGCAGTGATAGAAAAGTTGCTGTGTTAAATAGCTACACAGTTTATATTTGAAAATTTCTTCACATTCTTTTTCCTGCTTTGTATCTTTGTCACTAATATACTTAAGCGCCAATATATCAGTCACAAAATCCGGAGATTAAGATGTACATATTTACCTATTAGTAAATATATGTATTTTCCATATAGTAATTTAAGTTAAATCATTAGTTCTTATTCCACATGTTTAGCTTCGTCACTTGTTGGGAAGACTTAACTTGTTATCATATTGTAAAGTTCTGCTTTACGAGTGTGAATGTGTATCTATTTGAAACCACGAAATACACCTCTAACTATCCAGAATTAAAGGATGTTTCACTGCCACATTGAGTATGCAGACTATAGGCATTCCAAGGCGCAAACGTTGTTTTAAAAAAATACTCGCATTAATGTAAAGTTCTATAAAGATTTGAGAAATTCAATCCATATTTATCCTACTTTCTCATTTTCGAAAAGACCTTCAATTTCGAGGAAGACTCAAAAACTTCCCTAAAGTCACGAGATTAGGCACAATACCACTACCTATGAAGCACATATTAAACTACCTAGGTTCAGGAAGTGAGTCCCAATAACACGTGTAATTCGTACCTCAAATACAAGTTCATAAGAGGTTTGAAGTTGCATCCATTTATTTTTTTAAGTTTTCGTTGGTCAGATATAAGTCTCGGAAAGAATTTAAGTTCGCTTTGCTCTAGTGAACTTTTTTATTCTTCAGTGCCTTGAAATGAATATGCTACTCAGTGAGCCGAACCCCGCAAAAGACAATTTTTATGAGTTACTTGGTGTTAGCAAAAATTCAACGGTTTGCTGCATTTACTTACCTAACGTTCAGTAGGAAGATCAGATCCTTTGTGAATATCGCATAAAAGCTAGAGAGCTTCATCCAGATAAAAATTCGGGACCAAACTCAGGTAGCTCTTCAGCCAGTTTCAAATTCCTCTATAGCCTCACTTTTTCAGAAAATTCAGAAAGCTAAAGAGGTTTTGACTGACCCGAACCTCCGTAATATGTATGATGTCTGGTTGTTCAGCAATATATCTGTTTCTTTTGAACAATATCTTGGTTTGCAGAAAAATTTTGAAGAGGTATATATTCATTTTCGTAATGTTTAGTGTATGCACTGGTATTCTGATGCCGATAATATCCCTCGGATGTTGGATAGTACTTCAGATTCTGGTATGTTATTGTGCTACATTTATCAACTTTTCTTTTTAGACGGGCGTTTTATAAACGAAGATAACTCTGATAAGCTTCGTAATATTGTGAAACTCTTTCGTGCGTATGAAATCTGAGTAAACAGATTTTAAGTGATTTTACTCACAACAATAACTTAATTTTATTTAGTTCTAATACCATTCTCCCATTATTTTTAATCAAATTTCTTCCATCTCTTACATTGTGTCGTTTTAGCTTTACATCAATTTAATCATTTCCGACAATAAAATAGCTACCTCGATGTTGTACACTTTAAGTTGTGTTTGATTTACAAGTTCTCCCTCTGATAGATCTAGTTGTAATCTTTAGGGAGTTAACTATTAAATAAATAATAATAATTTTGATTTTTTTCATTGAATTCCTTTTACAACATATGGGGTAAAACGTGGTGATTTTTATAACAATACCATAGATATTTTTACTTAAATCATCCCAACTATCACTGTGCCGCACTTATTGATGTAAGAAAAGATGATCGACTTGTAGAAGTTAAGAAAAAAATCGTTAGGTGATGTGTTAGATAATTTCAGTGAGTTATTTTTGCATATACGCGTTTTGTATACTACTTTTTTCCACTGAACCGATCGGCGATTGTTAGTTCTCATAAAAACATAGTTTATTAAGTATTAAGGTTTCTTTGAAGATCATATATGTATGTCTAGCTCTCTATAAATGTTTTGTTTTATCCCGTTAACACGATAAACATTATTTTCTACATCAGTATCTTTTTACATGTTTTATACAACTAGTAACTTTTTACAAAATAAGGATCAATTGCTCAGTGGGTTTGTAACTTTTTTCATTATTACCGTAACATATTTCGATAAGGCAATTCAGCGTAAACAAAACTGGTCAAGAAATATCAAATAAAGAAAGCTTTTCAACAGCAAGCGGGTTATTTTCAATTTTCATGTTCGTAGAACGTCCGAGTAGAATTAGATTAGGGGTACTGATTTTCTATGGCAACACTATTGTAGATGGCTTTCGCCAAAGATTAGTATAAAGCGAAGAAACATTCAAAAAAATTAGAAACTTTTGCACATGCTTTTTATAATTGGTCTTTCAAATGATTTCAACAAAGAGGTAAAAATCTTCTTCAGGCAAGTATATATCTCACAATGACTGATTAATATATTGTAACTATATAACATAACATTAGCAACTATATCATAATATCTCAGCACTACTGGAGGTCAGCTTTGACCTAAATCGCCTACCTATAAGTCTCTGGTCGACACTGGCTAGTGGAGGTCTCAATCCATATCGAGAGCGTCATTTCTAAATTTCAAGAATTACTCATTGATGTGTGTCAATTGGTACGAAAATTTCAGTGCACGGCACCCTGACGACCAGTTCTAACCACTTAACATTGAAAAGATCTCTGCAATCTGTCCGTTTAAACTGGTGGGTTTATTAAATTGTATATCACTGTGAAAAATTTTATGAGCTTTGTTTTCAAAAGTTTGTCATGAATTATCTATAGACACTAGTTTGTGGTATTTATAGTCTTATTCAATAATGAAACTTACCTATAACCATGTCAGTATATGTCAAGTTATCTTAAGCGTTGTAAATTCTCCACTTTTGACCTGGTTTTAAGTCAAATTTCATTTATAAGGTGAAAATTTGTATACTATCCCATAAGTTAAGTTTTCATGATATGAACTGTTATCAAATGAAATTAAAAGCAGTTAGGAAAGAAAAAATGCGTTAAAATCTGTTGGATTATGAACTCGTTTAAGCCACCTAATATTAATTATCTTCAAAAAAGACAATAAGTAAAATTTAGGAAAAATAAAATGTGGCTAAAGCCAATAAAATTGTTTTGATAAATATAAATACTAAAAACTGACCGTAAACCAGTAATTATTATTTTACACTGATAATAAGTTCCTTAAAAACTTTAATTCATCAAGTCGATTATTGTATATATAAAGCCAATTTGAGTATAGATAAAATTTTATTGTATTTGTTTTTCTGATAATTAAAGACAAGTGTTAGTAAACTGCATTGTTAACAATCTTTAGCATTTGATTCGCAACGTCTAAAATCAAAGTGTTTGTGAAATTCATTACGAGACCTTGTAATTTAACGTAAAACTATATTAATTTAAGCTTTATACAGAGCAGTTTTGGAAATTTTCAGTTTGCTTTTTTACCTTAGATTAACCAATGTGAATTTGAAATTTGAATCTTCTTATCAGATTCACATATTCATAGGGATGTTTAAAAAAGATTTTCAGCAACCTAATTTGACTGATCATGCAATTAAAGTGAAATTAAAAACTATGCCTAGTCGGATTCCGATTATGTGTTGTTATCTATTGTGTGTAATCATAAATGTGGACGTAAAGTTACAAACTAGGATGAATCAGCTGTCCAGTGTGGTATTTTTGTGATCTGACTGGTTTTAATCTGTAGTAAAAACCTCTTTCAATTGATAACAAATCCTAACAAAACACTTAATCGAATAATAAATCATTCTTTTAGTAGATCTGTAAAAAATCAGCAACCAAAATATCATAATTTCGTCTAATATCTCACAAATCATCCTAGTGGATTTTGTAAAAGAACAATCGAGAAGAAGAAATAGATTTTACTGTATATTTCTTGTGATATGAAGAATGAGGTAAAGAAAATATTTTTCCTTACTTAGAAGAAAGTATAAACACTTCTGACATGCTCAGTGTTCATACAATTCGATGTTGTGTGAGACTGGAAATACGTTTTTATGTCTAGTACTTATTATAGCATAAAAGATTAATAAATTCACATCCCCACATGTTCTAGTTGATTGTATACATGATATTACAAACAGTTAATAGGAAATATTTCTTCATCCACCTCTTCTTTTATTTGAAGAGAATTTTCTCTAGTCCTTTAAAAACAAATATTTTGAGTGTCATTGAATACAAGATGTTTTTCAAGAAATTTAATTTTCCAGCATCTTACATTACTGTTATTATCGAAATAAGAGTATAATAAATGGAGGAGCAAAAACATTTACGATAAATACGTGCAGATAAGAAAAGAGAAGTGGTTTCTGTTGAAGACGATAGATTCCCAAAAACTCATATTTTGTAATTTTATCTTGTGGAGCTTGTATGCAGATGTATACGTGGGCATTTCTTACCACCCACGCACATAGTCAATTGGCGAACTATCGATTAAATGTTTAAATGCTCCATGGCAATATCGATTATATATATTTGTATATGTACGTTTTAAAATTGTCTTGTAAAATTCCTTGGTTTCTGGTTGTTGCAGAATATACTTCCCATTCTAAGCTTGGTCTTCTCCCTCTAGATAGTTGGGACTGGGACGCGTCATTAGCTAGCTCACTGGACCTCGATCACCGAATCCCGTTCTCGTTCGCAGACTACGTGAACCCGTGATAGCTCTCTTTTCAAACCCTAACAGTTTCAGACTGGGTTTTTTTTGACAGAAATGGAATGATTATGTTGTAACCCGATTCTGAATTTTTCTCAAAATGGTAGGTGTGCCTAAACATCGAAGTAAATAACTCTAAGATTTATGGTCTATATATGAATTCACCAGGTGCATTTTTATTTACTCTGTTGTGAGCCAATATTTTTTCTTGTGTGATGCCTCATGATACTACGCTAATATCCTCATCATAGCGGTTAACACAGGGTTCCAACCCGTAATCCGATGGTTAATAATCAATTACCTTAACCATTAAGCCATAGTTTCATCCGGTCCCATGATACTTTAATTGTTCTGGAAATTCTCCAAAGCAAGGTTAAAATAAAAAAAGACATAACAACAAGGGCTGAAGAAATCTAACTATTAAAATCAACATGTAACACATGTAGAAACAAAATTTAATGACATATTTAAACTCTAAAATAGGGGAAATAATTATAAACCAAATTGCGATGCTTAATCAAAACTTGACTACACATTGACTTCGTATTTTCTTTTTGCGGATATTGAAAACAAAAATAGTAAATAGTCTATACAACTTACTGTTTATATACTACAATGACAGAGAAATAACATTCCTAAAGGTTTACTTGGTTAGTTGAAGCGATGAAGAAATAACAACTTGAATAAAATAATAAACCATTCAGTATTCTGATTCTAATATTTAGTTTTTTCTTTTTATGTCAATATATGAATCATTCATTATGATTTCTACAAAATTTACTAAATACTTACATTAAAACTGATACCTACTTTCCAAGAACTTTTCTTTCACTATAGAAGCAGTATTTGTTTATTGCTATAATGATCACTTTGAAGTATATGATTCAATTTTTCACCGAACTTGTTCTATACGCATGAATTACATAGTAAATATATTAATAACAAAAACACTTGTTTATATATCATACCTTGAATAGATTTGAATATCCGTAAAAAGTTAATTGACATGATTATCCCCAAATAAACAAAATGGTAGAATATATTTTAGTGTTTTTTTCCGTTCAGATAATAAAAAGTCCCTCATAAATATGTAAAACTGTGAGTGTTTGCAAGTCAGTAACATTATGATTAAGGTGTTTTTTATGCAGTCACTAAGTTTAAAATATAATTTCATGTTATCAGTTTGAGTTTTGTTAACTCAATCATACTTTCAACTTTTATATAAATGTGGCTTAGTACTCAGTGAATTAATCTGTACGTAATTATTGAACTACGTTCGTTTTAATTAGGTCACTTAAATATGTTAAGAAAAGATAGAAGCAAAACAGTTTTAATGTTCTTACTCTTTTTCTTTACTATATTAAAGAAAAATAAGTCAGAAGAAATGTATATACTTTTAAGTGTCCAGTAAATAATGAACTAAAACAGTATATAATTAGAATAAGTTTTAAGTTTATTTCATAGCACAGTGAATAGGTGAGATCAAGTAAAAAAGATTTCAATGAATTATCGTTCGTTACATTTTGAGAGAATGATTTTCATAATTAAAGTATCATGATAGGATATTATGAACCATTGTTAAGTAGTCTGTAAGTTTAAATGAAAACGTATCATACGAAAAGAATTACTTATAAACATACTTATTACTGAACAGAATAAAACAATCCATAGTAAACTATCATAACTCAAAATAGTGGTTTACTGATTTCTTAGTAATTAGCTGATTAATTTCAAAATTATACTTTTAAACAGAAGGTGATAAGATCTTTCATAATCTGTAAAAGCATCGTCTAATCTGTCAACTGAGCTCGTCTTAAAAACATGTCATTTGTTTCGATTTTATCAGAACACGGAATTAACCAAAGTTTTTTTCTTATTTCTCTGCAATGTGTCAAGTTTGTTCAAAACAAAACACATTCCTTAATGAAACTGAAACATTGGAAAATAAAAACATCTATCACAG